CAACATCGTAATCCAGACAGAACCTGCAGCTGTTCCTGCCGTACCCGGCAATAACGTGCCACGTTTTAACGTGGAGATGGACAACAGAAAGAGGACGATGGGACCTGGGGCAGCTGAGGGACCTGCTGCTAAAAAACCGTGGATGGAAAAGTAAGATCATGCAAAACAAAAAAATAATCAGATTCCCACAAAAGTATTTGTGTATTCTGCAGAAAAGTTCTTGTTTTGTGTAAATAATTGAAACTAACTCATGATTTCTGTTGTTTTCAGGCCGAACTTCATCAATCAGGATAAGGGCGTTTTTCCAAAGAGAAATTACTACATGAACACAAAGTTAGAGGTGCGCAAGATTCCACGCGACCTCAACAACATCACCAAGCTCAATGAGCACTTTAGCAAGTTTGGAACCATTGTCAATATTCAGGTACGGGTGTCGTGCTTCCTGAAGGAACCGTTTTGATGATGACAGAGCAGACAGAACGTAACAAAGGTGCTCTGCTCTCCATCCAGGTGGTGTTTGGCGGAGACCCAGAGGCGGCACTGATCCAGTACACAAAGAATGAGGAGGCCAGAAGAGCTATTTCCAGCATCGAGGCCGTCCTCAATAACCGCTTCATTCGTGTGTACTGGCACCGCGAGCCCAGCATTAACATTGCAGGTGTTCAGGAGCAGGGCTCGGGTAGTCAGGGGGGCGGAGCGGCACCGAGCCCAGGACTCCAACACGGCAATATGCACAAGGTTAGCCTAAAGAACCAAAACATACACCGGTCATTCTGTTGTTTGCTTACTCACCTTTTTCTTCTTCTCTATTTGCCTTTTGATGTTGCCACAGGGGATCAAGCAGCACAACCCAGCAGCTTACGTGCTGAACAAAACCGTACCCAAACACCACCTGAATGTAACGAAGACAGACGGACTCAATCCCAACTCTGACAATGCCAATGTATGTTTGGTTTATTTATTTATTTATTTTTATTTATTTATTTTCATTTTTCTTGTCCAGAGTACAGAAAATACTGTTTTTATTTTATTGCAAAGGTGATTACATATAGTCGGCAGTACTCTGGGTATGATCTAATGTTTTACTTTGTGAAGGGCCTTGAGACAGCTCTTGTTGTGATTTGATGCTATATAAACAAACTTAATTAAACTATAACAGTATAAAAAGTAGAAAGCTTCAATTTGGAGGAGAATTTGTCATTTTTCATAGTAACACTAAGCAGTTTGCTGCTTCTCCGCCCTACTGGTTGAAAGTGGAATTACAACTTTCATAAACAACCCTGCCGCAGCCTGTTGTAGCTAGTGCTAAAAACCAACTAACGCTAACATGAGCCAGCTGATTTCAAGTAAGAAGATCCACACTGTTTGACAAACACTATTATTACTTACAAGTCCAGTGGTAACAAAGCCAGGTCACCGTCAGTCTGTGATTTTGTAGCGTCCTCTAGCTTCCAACTAGTGTAGGCCTCAACGATGTTCACTCTAGCTTTAGCTCTTTGCTTTGCTTCCAAATACATTACTCTCTTACTTTTACTTCCAGGTTATGCCATGGTGCTAACAAAAAAGCAAACTTCTTTTTTTGTTCTTAGTTTGCTTTTATTGAGGGTCAGCAAACTTACAAATCTAACTGCTAGCCTTTATATTAGCTACTGGCACAGTAACAGCTGTTGAGCAGGTAGAGAGCCTCCCCTGGGGCACCTACCCATCCTACCAAACTGTTGTGTAATGATTCTGGTCAGCAGAGAGCCGCAGAATGTTGCCCAGGGTGAAATCGCTCACGTTTCTACCTACAGAATCACTGAAACCCACTTTTAAACAAAAAGCCTAAAGCATTAAAACTGTCACGTGTTACTTTAAATCTCCTTTTCCACTTATTCGGTTGTTATTTCTGTGTCCTTTACCATAATTGCACCAATTTAGGCTAAATAAGGTCTTAAACACTTAGTTTTAACATTGTTTTATGAGCTTTTTGCAAACTAACGATAAACTTGTTTTTGAGTTTAAGGATTCTTCTGGCTGTAATTTTGTTGTGTTGGTTTCGTCTTTCCTTATTGTGATATCTAGGTGTTGCCTAACACCCAGAAGGGCTCTTACACCTCCACAGCCCTTAAGTCGTCCTCAAAGAGCCTTGGGAAAACGGGAAAAGCTCTGGAAGCACAGGAAGCTCTCAAGAAGAAACAGGCACGTTTCTTAATTTACTTGCATCTTCTGGCTGCTACAAGAAACACAAAGCTGGAGTTTCCTCTACCGACTGCCCTAATGACTTGTGTGATTGTGTTCTTTCCTTTTAGGAAGCTTTAAAACTCCAACAAGACATGAGGAAAAAGAAGCAAGAGATGCTAAAAACGCAGATTGAGTGTCAGAAAGTAAGACGTTCTCTGAGACTTTTGTCCCGATTCTTTGCTTTTACTGTTTTTACACTATTTCTCACTTTTTTTTTGTCTCCAGGCACTGATCAGCCGTCTGGAGAAGAATCGAGGGATGAAGCCAGAGGAGAGGGCTAATATCATGAAAACCCTGAAGGAACTCACGGAGAAGATTACACAACTACAGAACGAAATGAACTCCGCATCTCAGGCCTTGAGCGGCAAAACCAACCACAGCCAGCCCAAAACCAAGACTGACGTAAGTTGGTGTTTATTTATATTCATTTAAGACACTCAAACTGCTGTTTCACCGCTCTGTGTGTGTCTTCTAAATACAGAACAGTCAGATTTTCCTTTTGTTTCCAGGCACAGAAGGAGTTACTGGATGCCGAGCTCGACTTTCACAAGAAGATGAGCTCTGGAGAGGACACGACAGACCTCAAGAGAAAACTGGGGCAGCTGCAGGTAGAGGTAAAACACACTTGAAACACATTTTAACCCTTAATTTGCCCTGAAAAGTTGTTTTTTAAACTACACTAAAACGCTTTTGTGACCAAATAAGTACACAAATGAAATGAAATCAGCATTTTACTTGAGAGCTGAAATGGAGGATGTGACACCAGGAAACATATGAGGAAGGTGACCGATACGATTAATATGGCGTCTCTCACTCAGCCAGGGGAGAATTAGTTTGTTGTGAATAAATGAAACTTTTGTTATCTTTAGAAACGACACAAACAAAACGGGCTACTCTGTCACGTGGCTGTGATCAGATCGTAAACATTACAACCTGCTTTTCTTTATAATTGACATAAATTAAAATGAAGTCAGTGCGATTTACCCAAATTCAGGATTAAATGACTACGTTTTCTCGTCAGCCCCTCTGCTTTTAAGCATTTTAAGCTTTTTCCCCACCTGTTTCTTAGCTTGTCCTTTTTTTCCCTTCTCTTTTATCCCAAGTATCCTTAATTAGCTTTTTGTTAAAAATGCATGCACCCTGCCCCTCCTCCCGCCTCCATCCAAGCCCAAACCTCCTTCTGCACATTAAACCGCAGTCACTTAGGCGAGCCCAAAGGAACCGCCGCTAACGAAGCCAAGTCAGACACAAGCCCTTACACTGATGGAGCCCGTCTCATTAAAGTTTGACTGTATGAGGAAATCACAGAATGACAATTAAAGGCAGAAGAGAGGCGGGGTGCAGGAGAGTGGCTGAGAGGTTGTTAGCCGAGTAAAAAGTGAGATGTTCCTTTTTAAAAATGGAGGAGGGACAGCTAATGGGGAAGGGACAGAGTGACGGAGCAGCAAATCAAGGCAGGATCTTTCCAGGTCTGGAGCGGAATTTTGACAGATTTTGACCTTTTTTAAGGTCAGATTGAAAATAAAACATATGATCGGTTACTTTTCTGTTGCTAGGCAACACGTTTGGGTCTGATCCGGCCTCCGGTTGGGCGCGGACGAGGCCGGGGGAAAATCCCGCCGGAACTGGGCTCCGTGCCTGGCGGCCGCGGCAGGAGCCGAAGCCGGGAGATGATGTCTCGTGGTGGGGTTGTTAACCGCATGGTGGTGGACCACAGGCCCAGAGCGCTGACCATATTAGGAGTGGCACAGGAAGAGAAGGAAGAGCTAATGCCACACTTTGTGGTGAGAATATTCTTTTTCTAATTTTTTATTTAAATCCTTAAAAGGGTTTTAATATTTTCATTTTATTGTAATTTTGTAGAAATTTGGTGAAATTGAAGAACTCCGCGACCAAGACGCCAACAGTGTCATCATGACCTTTAAGACGAGAGGTGAAGCTGAGAATGTAAGTCACATGACTCCAGATCTGCTGCTTCGGTTTTCCTGAATGGCTTTATTCTAATCCTAACCTCTCCTGTTTGATTTTCCAGGCAGCCAATCAGGGAGCTAAGTTCAAAGGTCGTGTTCTGCAGATTTCCTGGTACAAACCCAAGACGCCCTCTGTTACAGCCGAGCCAGAGGACGAAGAGGCTAAAGACGAGGACGGTTCGGTACGGAACACCACACACAAACCTGGCAGATTTGGGACAAACTTTAGTTTTTTACAGTCGCGAGGAGAAGTGACGAAACTTTTAGAAATGTTGGTTTGGTTCATATTTGTAAATTTCTGTCCCATGCTTTTGAATCTTTTACTGCCGGTGTCGGTACAGGATCTGCTCGGATGCAAGATCGGCGCGGCCTAGGGGTTGTATCAACTAGTCGACTAGTCAACTTCAACTAGTCGCTGTCACGTGATAATGACAGACAAGATGCAGTCCTCGGAAAAGACGGCAGGTGACGAGTCCCTGCGCGTTGGGAGGCGATGCACTGTGCCAGAGCGTCGGTATCTGACGCCCGCCGTAAAACCACATAAAACGGACATTTGACCGAATTGTGACCTTTACCCTCTTGCAATTTAACCTTCCCCTCACCCCCATCCTAACCTTAACCAGCTTGCGCATGCAAAGCTCTGATCGTTGACGCGCTCCAGACATCTGCGTAGGGCTGCTCAATTAGTCGAATTTTAATCACGATTACGATCTGAGTATTGAACGATTATAAAAAACAAAACAAGCCGATTATTTGCTCCTCCCACTTGCGCTGCCCTGAGTTGCAAACGAAGCGCTCCTCCCACAGTGTTGCCAACTTGGCGACTTTTCTAGCAGCTTTTCAGACCCCCTTCTTGACTTTTTAAATCTTAAAAGTATCTAGCGAACACCTCAGAAACATCTCTGGTAACCCTTAGCTACTTTCTGGATAACTGTCGTTGACGATTCTGCAGGTTAGCTAAACACTCCGCCTGCGCTCCGGACCGTTCTTCAGGACATTAGGAAAGGGAATGATGTGTCAGTGATGATGTGTGTAGTGATGTGTCAGTCGCTAAAGAAACGGCTCACGGAGCCGGCTCCTTGTTGGATTAACCAGAGTGAGTGACACACACCATACCTGCGGGCTCCTGAGCCGCTAAAAACGGCTAAATGTGCGCGTGCTGCGTGCTAAACACACGTGCAGCTTGCCCCTGATTGCTGTGAGACCGGGTTGGGGGGTGGGGGGTGCAGCTGTGGTTGGGACAATTATTACATTAACTGATGGACCTGTAACTAGTTTATAAATAAGGTAGAAATAGATAGAAATAAGTTCCTCACGCTGATAACTAATAACTAATCTCTCTGAGGACACAGTGCTAGTGCACTCTCCTACAGCACCTTGACACAACTCCATAAATGTTATGCAACATTTTGTGAACATCAATTTATTTGCATTTATTTGTTATAAATGCCACTGTATAATTCTTGCTGTCAGTATTTGCAAGATATTGGTATTTGGGTCTGTACTGGTTAGACTTAAAGGAGTTAAACCAAGGTCTATAGCCCTTGGGTCATAAACTATGAGCTATAAGTATATTGGTCTTTTTATACTGGGAATCAGGAGTTATTTTAGTGATCATCTTGTTTCTTATTTACTTTTGTCTTGATTGTGTCCTGAGCAATTTTATGACTGAATAAAAACAAATAAAATCAACATAAATAGAAAAATCGTCCTAAAAAATCCTGATCTCAATTTCAGTCACAATAATCGTGATTATTATTTTTGCCATAATCGAGCAGCCCTACATCTGCGTCCTGAGCACGGCCACAGTAACATCAAATTAGGTGTCGCCACCTCAAAAACAAATTTAACACGTTCTCGTTCATGTCGGCTCATTTCCTTTTACGTTTTCTGTCTTTTATTTGTGTCTGATGCGTTTCGCTGCTGTGGAGTGGAGCGCATCACCTGTTTTGTTCTCCGGCAATTTCACCTCAGCGGTGCGGCCGTCGAGCAGCGAGCACTCCGCTGTTTTTGCGGTCGGTAGATCTTTTAGAACTGCAGTTCAAAGGTAACTCATGAGGTGAATATATATGAACCCAGGTAGCAGTTTCTCTTTAGGATTGAGAGGAGATGCAGGAAGATAATAAACAGACAGGACAGAAAAATAGTGAAATAAAAACAAGTTAGTTTTTGTACCTGGTGGTTGCAACAAACAGACACCATTGAAGGTAATCAGAAGTGAGGAACAGAAAATGAAATAATTATTTTAATGTTTAGAGCAGCAGGAACTCTGAGAGGCTGCAGGCCATCAGTGAGTTTGCCGCCACTGCGCGCGGGGGGGGGGGGGGATTGGTGGGGCTGAAGCAGGGTAACCGTAAAGATGCAGAAACTACCGTTGTTAAAAGAGATGTGTTTAACTTTGAAAATGTGGGTGCAATTTTAATTGTCAAAAACTCCACCGATTAACCCCCCCCCCCCCCCCCCCCCCCCCCCCCCATGTGTCGGGGGGAAAAATGCTTGGTCACCCATCGTCAGTATTAGCCGCTTCAGGTGTATGACGTCATCAACAACTAGTCAAAGTCGACTAGACTTTCATTACTTGACTGTCGTCATTAAAAAAAAATGTCATGCAGCCCCTAGCGCAGCCTACACTCGTTGATTTCAGTATCAAAGCATATATAAAGTAGCAACGTCCTAATTTTTACATTCCTACATTTATTAAAAACATGCTAAATACCAGCACTGCACGATGTTAGGAAAACCTGCAATGCACGATAACTGTGATTGATATTGCAATGACGATATGACTTGAAATAAACAAATGCTTAACTCAAGAACAAAGAAATTAAAAACAAACTAAAAAATATAAAAATGGGAAAATTTCAAATTTTGATAGAAAGATGTGAGGAAATGGAAAAAGAGAATGAAGGCAATCATTGGATCCTGGGAAAAGCCAAATCGTCAGAAAGAGCAGAACGAAGCTAACAGGTGTTTGCCAGCCATCCAAACTAAGTGCCATCCACCTAGAGGGCGGGCATCTAACTTTCAACCACTAGGGGCAGAAGTGCAACTTTAATGCTTCGTTTTACCTCTTTTTGTTTGTTTCCAAGATGGGTTTGAGCTCTAAAAATATCTATTTTTTTATTGCGTTTAAAAGTTAAACTTTATCGTTGTGTTGGTTTGAACAGAAGGAACCGAGCTCATATTTACCAGGAGAGGAGCAGCGGGGAGAGGAGGAGGAAGAGGAGGAGGACGATGATGAGGACGACGAGTACGAAAGCCGTTCTTGGAGGCGATAGAATCAACTCTATCATCTTTCCTCTAGTATCTGTTTTTGTTGAACTATAAACGATTAAAAAAAAACATCTTTACTTTATCGGAACCCAGAAGAACTCTGACTCTCCATGAAACAACATTTCATTTTTGCTGAGGATGATAAACGTTGAGTTGTTATAGATCTAATGTAAGTTTTGGCGTGCTTACCAGATGATAAATATCAGTAACACACAACGTTTGTGTTTACTGTGAATAGGTATTTTTTTACATTCTGTATTTAAGCTCCTCTCTCACCAGGATTAATTTTGTAGAATCTCGTCCTCCATTCATGGACGGTCATTCCTTCACCGGTAGGAGGTTCTCCATCTCTTTTCAAGAGAGACTTGTTTATTTATTTCTCCAGCACATAAATGTACTGAGTCACACTGTTCAGTAGTGGCTTTCTCCATAAAATCTGAACGGATAAAACTTTTTTTTGATCGCTCTTTATGCTAGCTTGTACGACCTGGATTTACCGGATTGAACAGAGCCACCACGACGCAGCTTCTCACGGTGCTGTTGCACCACCATGGAAGGATCCTGGTGCACTAAACCACCTGACGGCTTTTACAGCCATGTCGACTACACACAGTCCTTTAGCATCTGTTCAGTTTTCTTCCTCTAATCGGTCTACGTCCACGTTTGTGAAAACGCACCGAAACGGGCGTTGCACAATTTCTAAGAGTGAAAAGCGTTTAAAAAATCTGATCACCCGTTTCAAATATGTGACTTCCATAAAAAGGTGTTTGAATGTAAAACCGTTGATTTTTTTTTTTTTTTTTTTTTTTTTTGCCTTTCACAGTCAGCAGATTGCTGGGTTTTTACTGAAATTTAGATTTGTAAATTTTGTAAATGCTTTAATTAGAAATAGCTGTATTATTTTTTGCTAAGTTTTATTTTACTTAAAATGTGGGGTTGCATCAGTCAGAAGAGGCCAGACACTAGTCCTTTGCTGTTTATTTGCATCAAACTGTCCCTTTTTTTAAATTATACCTGACATCCTAATGGCAGGGGTCTGAGTTAAAAAAAAACCACTGAAAGTAATTTGCTCTTGTGCAAAACTGCTCCAATTTAAACACTGTCGGTGTTCAGAACTTGTTTGATAAATAACTCAAATTAATTATTTTTTATTTACACATACTGTACATCAAAGTCTGCAGGGTGGGAGGAGCTAAACCAGATAGATGAGTCATTCCTGTTCAACAAATCATATCAAACCAACCCGAGAAGGATTTACTCGCTGGTCTGTAGCCGTCTTTAGACAGAGACGCAGACAGGAATGTGCATTTCTGTCTGAAATTCAATAACAGGATTGTTTTGTTTTTAAAGACTCACTGGCCAGGAGATTCCAGATCTGATTGAGGCGTGCTCGTCCTGTTCATCCATCTGTCACTCTTTACTAAATACATGACGGAAGGATGATATGTTTAAGACTTTTCACTTTATTAGGTCACTGATTGGTTTAAGGAATGAACCAATAAGTGGCAGGATTTTCTTTTCTTGTGTAAGTGAGAATTTAGTGTCTCCTGACCACTTTTTGTACTATCTGTATGCTACCATCACACAAATAGTGTAAAAAATGTAAAAGGTTTATTGAATAATAGTTTTGAATTTGTTACTGTTTATATTTGCAGGATGTGTATGTATTTTTTTCTTCATGTAATTTGTTTGTAAAAAAAAAGATTTATAATTTACTAGCATGTTTGCTTTTGCCAATAAAGATGGAGGAATGGGGTGCTTGTAAAAAAAATAAAAGAAGAAAAAGATTGACAAATGAAAAAAAGAAAAAATTCGATTGTGACAAAGGGAAAAAATGATTTGGAGGGAAAAAAAGAAAAAGAAGATTTGACACTAAAAAAAATGCAAGCAAAAGCATTCCAGAAATCAACATTTTAAATCTTGTGTGGTCTCCTTTATTTTGCATGTTTTGACATAAGGGTTGTAAAAATGAAATTATCATTTTACAGATTTTACTTGGTCAATTTCTGGTTCAGCATTATCACATGAATATGTTAATACAAAGTGTAGTTTTCAAGTCATTAAGGAACAAAATCAATTCAACCTGACCCTGTATGAAAAACTGGTTGCTAAAGGGATACTTGGCAACTTTTTCATTTTAAAACAGGGCCACCCAGCCCCTGTTGCCTGATGTGTCCTTTTGCATCCTCTTGTTTATGTTGATTTACCGTAAATCCTCTAATACAGGCTTGTATTCAATTAACGGCCGGGTCTCATATTTTGGCCGGAGTCGGCGGAGGTGAATAATGGCCGGTCTCTTATTGTGGCCGGGTGGAATGTGTTAACAAGCAAGTGGGGGGGGGGGCGGGGGGGGGGGGCGGTTGTGTCATCGTCTCACTTTTGATTTGCCAGTGATAGACCGCGAGGGTAACTTTAACCATGCAGAGACGAAGAGGAAGCGAAAATTTTATATCAAGTCCAAAGAGAACGTGCTGATTACGCTGCAGAACACTCTGGGGAGCAGCAGCAGGGGTTGTATGAACTAGTTGACTTCACTTTTTATGCCTGTCTTCGACTAGTCGCTGTCACGTGATAATGACCGGCAAGATGCAGCCCTCTGAAAAGACAGCAGGTGACAAGCTCCTGCGCTGGGGGGGGGGGGGGGGGGGGGGGGGGGGGCAACGAGCTGTGCCAGAGCGTCGGTACTGACACGCGATCGTTCATGTCGGTTCATTTCCTTGTTTTCTGTCTTTTATTTGCGCCTGATGCATTTCGCTGCATGCTGTGGAGCGGGGCGCTGCGCGCATCACCTTGTCCTCCGACGCACTGATCACTGATGCGGCCGCCAAGCAGCGAGCACTCCGCTGTTTTTGCGGTCGGTAGATCTTTTAGAACTGCAGTTCAAAGGTAACTCATTAGGTGAATATATATGAACCCAGGTAGCAGTTTTTCTTTAGGATTGAGAGGAGATGCAGGAAGATAATAAACAGACAGGACAGAAAAATAGTCAAATAAAAGCAAGTTAGTTTTTGTACCTGGTGGTTGCAACAAACAGACACCATTGAAGGTAATCAGAAGTGAGGAACAGAAAATGAAATAATTATTTTAATGTTTAGAGGAGCAGGAACTCCGAAAGGCTGCAGGCGCATCAGTGAGTTTGCGGCCGCTGCGCAGGGGGAGGGGGGAGATGGCTGAAGCAGAAACTACCGTTGTTAAAAGAAATGTGTTTAACTTTGAAAATGTGGGCGCAATTTTAATTGTCAAAAACTCCAGCGAACCATTAGTTCATTTTGCTCAAATAGAAATTGAGGCCTGCTTCTAATTCTGGCCCTCCTTCCAATAAAGGCCTAGAGCTTGGTGAGCTTGAGTCAAATACAGGCCCAGGCCTGTATTAGAGGATTTACGGTATTTAGCAGACGCTTTTATCCAAAGCGGCTTACAATTTATAACCTATAGGGCATGTTGTGATCTGTGGGGGAAACCAGAGTAGGAAACCCACGCATGCATGGGGAGAACACGCAACTCCACGCAGAATGGCCGCAGCCGAGTTTCGAACCTGCAACCTTTGTGCTGCAAGGCAACAGTGCCAACAACTGCGCCACCATGCAGCCATGTGGGTCTGTTGCGTCTATAACCTCCCCAAACATGAGAAAAAGTTATCCTTTAAGCTGTTTCATAAAGTCCCCATAATGTCTGTGATGTTACAGAGAACTAGCATAAAACCACCTCTCACGGGCAAGAGAACCAGCGGTTCCATTAAGAGCCCCTCGGATATTGGAGCTTCCCAACTTATCGCAGCCTATCAGGACGAGTGGGTGTGGCCAGCTCCAGCTTCTGTACCTTAATATGACAGAGCCCTTAAACGGCAAGGTACTGAAACTGTCACGAATAAAACTGCTTAATCTGTGTCCGTATGTGTTTGATTTATTTTAAAATGTTTTTGCATGTTTTAATATATGTTTTTACTGTTTTTAATTATGTCGGTATGTTTTTATCTGAGTGTGAAGCACTTTGGTTGACAGTGTTGTGTATAAAGTGCTATGAATAAAGATGGCTTGGATCTGAGAGGGGAGGCAGAGTTAAGTTCCCACCCTGTAACTGGAAGGTTGCAGGTTCGAGTGAGACACCTCACCCACGTTGCCTGCCGCTGGTGGTTGGAGGGACCAGTGTAGTCTCGCCCCGGGGCAGCTGTGGCTACATAGTAGCTCATCACCCCCTGCGTGTAAATGTGTGTGTGTGTGTGTGTGTGGGGGGGGGGGGGGGGGGTTGAATGACTGCTTGTGTTGTAAAGCACCTTGGGGGGTTGCAGAACCCTAGAAGGTGCTGTATCAAATTCAGGCCATTTTGTTCAAAGACTTTCATAAACATATTTTCTACCAAACAGAACTGTTATAACGTAAGAAAAATATTCATATTCTGTTCCTAATATGTCAGAGGTTAAGACTGAATGGGACGCAGGGATGGTGTCAGAGTTCTAATGTGAAAACCAAAGAACACAAATGGCCTTCTCACACTTTCTAAAAAAAAAACATCTCAATGATCTCCAAGAGTTGGTAAAATTAGGAAAGTGTATAATTCCTGCTGGATTAAAACTAAAACTCACAAAGCTGAAGAAGTTGCTATAGTTGATGGATCCATGTGTTTTGCTGTTTACCAGAAAATCCTGTGGGACATTGAATCCTTGACCTTAAACAGGCTTGCTGGAAAATTCACCAACAAATCTGTCCAGAAGAGTGGGACGAATTTTCACCACAGTGGTGAGAGACTCGTTACCAGTTATGTGGTTTAAGGGCCGACCATTTAAAGCCAAATTTGTTTGTCGCTTTGCTGCTCTTACACTTATTATTTACATCTTATTACAGTTACATCTGACCAGGTGAGGAGAGAACTGAGGCAGGTTAAGAGCAGGAAAGCTGCAGGTCCTAACAAGATCAGCCCCAGACTGCTCAAAGACTGTGTTGACCAGCTTTGTGAAGTGGTCACGCACATGTTCAACCTGAGCCTTCGGTTGGAGCAGGTCCCCATCCTGTGGAAGACCTTCTGAGAGGTTCCAGTTTCCAAAACATCCCATCCTCGAGTAACCAGACCACTACAAATCTGTCGCCTTGACCTCCCATCTGATGAAGACTATGGAGAGACTCATCCTCAACCATCTAAGTTCAGTGGTGAGCCCAGAAATACACCTACTACAGCTTGCATAACAAACATGGGGGTGGTGGACACACATACCTGCAGCACCGGGCTCTGACTCACCTCAAGATGCAAAAGAGCACTGAGACAATCATGTTCTTCGACTTCTCAAGTGCCTTCAACACTATCCAGCCATATCTACTTCAGCAGTAGATGAGGGGTGCAGTAGTATCTGACTGCATGGACCATCAACTACCTCACTAACAGACCACAGTACGTGAGGCTGCACAACTGTACATCTGTACTGTACAACACAAGCAGCTGTCACCTCCAGAAGTTCTCTGATGATTCGGCCATTGTCGGCTGTGTGTCTGAGGGGAATGACCAGTACAGGTACATCATGGACTTTGTGAACTAGTGTGAGCGTAACCACCTTTGCTTGAACACCAGTAAGACAAAGGAAATGGTGACTGAGTTCCAGAGAAACACTCCTCCTCACTAACCAGTAAGCATCTTGGGTGTTCACCTCAACAGCAAACTGAACTGGTCCAACAACACATATGCTCTGTATAAGAAGGGGCAAAGCCGCCTCCACCTCCTGAGGAGGCTGAGGTCCGTTGGAGTTAATTCCCAGCTTCTAAAATCCTTTTATCACTCTGTTGTTGGAACTATTATCCACACTGCTGTGGTTTGTTGGGATGCAGGCAGCTCTGACTGAGACAGGAGGAGACTGAACAAGCTAGTTAACCAAGCTAGCTTGGTTATGAGCTGCCCACTGGATTCAGTTGGGGAGATGTGTGAAAGGATCTCCATCTTAAAAACGCCACTGTAGCATCATGGAAGGTCCTATAATTTGTGGCAAAGGTCACATTTACCCAGATGGGTCAAACAGTACTTTTAAATCCACAGATTAACCCAAGGAGCCACGATGTCTGCAAGATCATATCATATCTGCTGTTCCATCCCAGGAGGAGGACACTTCAAGTCACATGATAATAATTAGATAATAATAATTAATAAAACTAATTGATTTTATTACAGTTTAACATAATCTCATAAGTGATCACTTGGTTCAGTATAAAGGTACTTTAATTACATGAAATGAATTTATGCTTTGGGTATAATAATAATAACAATTATGATTATGGTTGATGACAGTAAAAGATGTGTTCAGCATATCAGAAGGTCAGTTCACCTTATCCAGCTAACACAGAGTCCAGATAAACGATAACTGCAACACATGTTTTGACGCATGATCAAAGCTTTCTTCCTGAGAGAGTGGGAGTGTCCTGTGAGCTTGGTAAAACTAACCATCACCAGCTTCAGAGTCAGTTCTTGAACCAACACCACGGGGGAAAATGGAACGGCCGCCCCTAAAACCTCCACCTGCTGTTCAGTCACGCTGACCAGAAAAGCTAAAGAATAAACAAACTGTAACCAGCTAACGAAGACTCTACCCAGAGTTGTTGATTTCTGAGTTAAGACAAAAACTCCTTCAGAGTTATGGATTTTGAGACGCCAATAGTTCATCAGTCGAGTGACCCACAGAGACAACCCAGGACTGATTTGGTCGCATAGAGGTCCTTCTACCATCCTCGTACCTGACATCTCGGATCAGAATGGGGGTCCCCGGAAAATGGGTGAGGTAGACACTAATCGACAGATGACGTTTGATGCTGTTCTCTCTAAATAACCGCAAAGCATCAATTCCATCCAGAATGCTTCTGCTCTCTGTGAAAGAAACCTTCTAATAATCTCATTCACGCATCCAAACTCGCATTATCAATTTAGCTCCCATCCAGCCACAGGTTTGCTTTTAAAACAAGTTTAATATCAAAGCTGTTAAAATTTGTCATTAAATTGTCTCCTTGAATTGTCGTTTTATAATTGTCGTTTCAAATCTTTAAGTTTAAAATTGTTAGTACTAAATTTCTTCATTTTTAAACTTGCCTCATTATTGAAACGAAACACAGAAAAGGTATAATATTTCTGGTTATTTGAAAGCAAAGATTCCTAGCTTCCAATTCAAAATAACTTTTGCTATTAAATTTAATTATCTAAATTAAACATTAATCTTTGGATTAAAATTAGATCAAACAGGTTGATGTATGAACTTAGATCGATATATAAGTATCCGGGATATTTATATATATATATATATATATATATATATATATATGATATAAGCTTCATAGGTTAATCTGATTGGTCATTTTCAGAATCTCCAACTGAATAGCAACAGATGTGATTTCAGTGTGTAGTCTTAAATCTCCGCTACACCACCCACCTACTGCATTCCACTGTGGAGACCATGGACAGCTCCTTCAGAGGCAGACATCCCAGATGTAAAGTAGGTCATTCATCCCCTCTAGTGTACAACTCCTCAGTTAGGTTATACTGGCGTTATCCTGGTACACAATAACACCTATATGCAGTGCTCAGTATGTGTTCAATACTTGTGCAATACCAGATAGTATGTCTGTATCTCTTACATTATGCTGCATAGTTCTGGAATCCAAGTTTTTCATTTTTATTTGTGGTTTTTGGTGGTCGAAGGTTACAATACTAGCTTAAGTGTTGGTGCTGCTGTAACAACTGAATTTCCCTACTGTGGGATCAATAAAATCTATTCTATTATTAGCTGAAATTTTGAGAAAAGACATTAAAAAAGGAAAAGTTTTGAAACTTCTAATCACCAAATGCAGAACTGAAAGTCTGTGTTGAGAAAAGACAGACTGTTTTAATCTGCATAATGAAAACGAAGATGCCACCGTGGTAATGGATGCCTGCCATCTTGTTGTTCAATTATTCAAAGTCTGGGGAACAAGAGAGGCGGCTGGTAGGATCGTGTTGACCCGTTGTGTCATCAGCCCACCTCTGTCCGAATGGCTCCGCTTTCGGTCTCCGCGCTTTAACCAGGCAGCCACATGAGAAGTCTGGTGGAGCAGGATGGGCGTTCCCATGGAAGGGGTGAGGCCAGGGCCAGGGTCCAATACCAGAGGCCTAGTTTGAAGATAGCAAGAACTAAGCTGTATTTGTCTCACATGATAGAGGAGTATCAGTGCCTCTGAGTAAAAAATAAAATAAAAACAAGGGTAAGATTTTGGAGTAAAAGTAGAAAATGTTGAAACGCTGTTTCCTCACCAAAGTTCAAAGACCCTGAACTCAACTGTTAATTATTTTGTTTTCTTATTATTGTAACTGAGAGGTGCTGTGTCTGTTTTTGTGTGTAAATTATAATGATTCAAAAGAAAAATCAAATAAGATATTTATGAATATGTGGAGCAGTCCACAGTAGAACTCAAGTTTAAGTCCTTAATAATAAAAGTCTTAAAAAAGCAAATTACTCTAAACATTTTACGTGTTTTAAATATTTTTAACATAATTTTGTAAAATTCAAACTATTTTGATTCGTTTCATGGGGTTGGATACCCTTGTTTGAGACTTTTATTGTGAAGGATTGAAGGAAGTTAATTTAGTCCCAAAATGTGTTTATTCACTGAAAACCCAACCCTTGGGGAAAAAACAGAACAGTTAAGTGAAGTTTGGGATCAGTATGGGGTTATTTTGGACTTTTTTCTGTTTTTGACGTCCTTCAATCAATTTTGTCTGGACACTTTGACTTCCTTTCTCACATTTAGACTTGTATAACATTTCATTCGAATTTATTCTGAATGTCATCCCTTCTGATTTTCTTGAAATCTTTACTCCTTTTGATGTTTTCACTTTTTTGCCTCCACATTTTTTTTACCTTATTCGTGACTTTGCTCTTTTTATCCTGTGGTGGCTGTTCTGGGACACCGAACTTCGCTGTCCATGGTGCTGAATAATCAAGAAAGTCTCAAAACAAACCCTGTTTGGCTTTAGGAAATGTTTCATAACGCTACATTTACTGACAAAACGAATGAAAATAAATGAACGAACGAACGAACGAACGAACGAATGAATGAATGAATGAATGAATGAATGAATGAATGAATGAATGAATGAATAGTTCCAGAATGAACCCAAATGAAGGATAGTTTCTGCAGCTGGCGCTCCCAGGCCGCACTGTTGCAGCTTGTAAGTTGAGCAGGGGGGCAGGTGGGGAGGGGAGGAGGAGGTGAGCTGAAAGAGGAGGAGGAGGAAGACTGGGGGACGTAGGGATGCCGGGAGGCTGTGAACTGCTCAGTTTTGTGACGGGGACCAGAGGAGCTCTGCGGCTGTCTGCGCGCAGCCTTTCATGCCAGGGGCCAGACTGCTTGCAAGGGCCTCGTGGGGAGGATGATGATGATGACCATGAACGGCAAGCAGCACTTCTCCATGCATCCGGCCCTGCACGAGCCCAAGTACCCTGGCCTGCATTCAGGCTCGGAGGGCATGCGCAGAGTCTGTCTGCCCGCCCCACAGGTACGTTCAGGAATGGAGGAGGGGGGGGGGGGGGGGGGGGCTGGAGTCCAGCAAGGTGGTGGTGATGGGGGTGTAGGAAAAAAAATCACGCTGAAAATGTCTGCAAAGTTGATTTGACAGGACTTTGTTCTACCCGCTATCTCTATCCTTTTGCTCCTCTACACCCCCATCCCCCTCCCCCTCCCCCCACTTTTCATCCACATGTCTGTTCAAGATATGCTCTTTGCTTTCATATTAATTTTTATGACCTGCGCTTTGAGGAGGGTTCTCTCCTCTCCTCGGCGCTGCTTGTCTTTGGAGAAAAAAATGTTTTTTAGATGCTGAGAGCTGACGCCTGACAGAATTCCCCACTGACTCCAGTATGCGCACTCTTGCTTGCAGCTGCAGGGCAATATATTCGGAGGCTTTGATGAGAGCCTGCTGGCGCGGGCAGAAGCTCTGGCGGCGGCTGACAGCATTGTCTCTCAAGGCAAGAGCCACCCCTTCAAACCCGACGTGACTTACCATACCATGAGCAGTGTCCCCTGTACCTCAGCGCCCTCTTCTTCCTCCGCCACCGTGCCCATCTCCCACGTCCCTTCTACCATCGCCTCCCACCACCATCATCACCATCTCGGACAGACCCTGGAGGCCGGGGACCTCCTGGACCACCTCTCCAGCAGCCTGGCCGTGACCGGGATGGGTGCTCCAGAGCCTCCAGGGATGAATACACCTGCGCACCACCACCAGCACGCGCACCACCACCTGCAGACCATGGGACAGCTGCACCAGGCGATGGCCACCATGGCGCACCCGCACTCCCTCTCCGTGCACGGTGGCATGGCGTGCGTCAATGACGTGGAGTCGGATCCCAGGGAGCTGGAAGCCTTCGCTGAGCGCTTTAAGCAAAGGCGGATCAAACTGGGAGTGACCCAGGCGGACGTGGGGGCAGCGCTGGCCAACCTCAAGATTCCCGGCGTGGGCTCGCTGAGCCAGAGCACCATCTGCAGGTTCGAGTCCCTCACCTTGTCTCACAACAACATGATCGCTCTCAAGCCGGTTCTGCAGGCCTGGCTGGAGGAAGCCGAGGCTGCATACCGGGAGAAAAGCAACAAGCCGGACCTTTTCAACGGGAGCGACAGGAAACGAAAGCGCACGTCCATCGCCGCGCCGGAGAAGCGCTCCTTGGAGGCGTACTTTGCCATCCAGCCTCGGCCCTCCTCGGAGAAAATCGCAGCCATCGCGGAGAAACTGGACCTGAAAAAGAACGTGGTTCGAGTGTGGTTTTGCAACCAGCGACAGAAACAGAAACGAATGAAATACTCTGCGGTGCACTGACTTTTCCCCCCCACATCATGAATAAAATAGCCTACTACATTTTTGATCGAGTGATTAATAATAACCCGAGCAGCCGAACAAACAGGGATTCATCAACAGCTCCTCCACCTGGGATCGGATCCAGAAGGACTCGGACTGATCCGGTTGTTTTTTCACTCACTCCTCATCGTTGCACTTTTTTTTTGGTTTGGATTGTGTTATAGGAGGGTGATTTTGGTGTTATTGGTCATGTATGTTTGCACACATCAAAATCGACTTTTCCGTGAATCCATCAAGTTGTCACGTTCAGGGATCTTTTCTTAAAATAGTACTTTTGAGTGCTGATGTCACATTTTCTGGCTTATCTTATTTTACTCCACAATAACAGATCTCCACATTTTAAATCAGCACCATCCACTTTTCTTGAAATGTTCGTTTTGTATGCTGCTGCAGGATAAAAACGTTCACCCACTTTTTACGCACTATTTTTCCACGACTATGTCGTCTGGCCGTGATTTACGCACAGAAAAACGAGTAATAACTATAACACATTTAGAAATATAAGGAGGCGCATCCATGTGGCTTCTGCTATATTTTAGTATTTTGATGTGTTTTTATTTTGATTTTTGGAGAGGTGAGTTGTAAACATAATCACATATTTTAAGTATTTATTTTTCTCTCACTCTGAGTTTCACTTGGAAAAAATGTGTGATATTTAAATAAATTAGTGGTTATTTTCTAAAAATAATATAGTTAATTATTTATTTTTGTGTCTCCTTACTTTAAAAAAGGAGAAATCTCAAGGCTGCGGCCTTAAATGTGATTCAACAGTCAGCACAACCTGTAAGCAGACAGTTTTTTTACAGGCTGTATTATTTATACATCCCAGAAACCTTCAGGTATTAAATATTTATTGTTGTGTTTGATACAATAAGGGAAAAACAAGGGGGGCGGCTATTATTACAGTGATTTTCACACCGCGGAGCGCCAAAAAGGTGCATCTTTGGTTCACCAATGGCTCCTTTCCCTGTAATTAGTCCAGATTTAATTATAGATGTCCCATCCTGCCAGCTTGTGTCGTATACGTGGGGTTTGAAATTATTAAGTAATGATGATGCAATATTAATTGTAGATGTGTATAAAGGGAAGGAGCGAGTCGGGAGGAGAGTCTGGACTGTTTGTGACTCCAGGGAGATACAGAATGCACCACAGGTTGGTCCAGGAAATTAAAAAAAACAAGCCTGAAAAATAAGGAAAATCTTTTAGGATTATTTCTATTACAGCATTTTTGTGTTATTTTGCCCAAGTAAGTATTTAATGATTTTTTAATATCTTTTTTAAATTATTCTTTAACTCCTTAACATTTAATAGTTTATTTTGCGTTCTATTCACTTAATTTACTTTTATATTTTGTGAAATTTATTATTTCTAAGCTTACTTTCTTACTTTTTCATTTTAACGACAAAAGTAACTTATTTGAGCAGATTTATGCATGTTGGCATATACTTTTACGCACGAGGCGCGTCTTGCGTAAATTGAAACGTTGGGTGTCTTTTGTCACTTTAAAAAAAATTAAGCTTTAAAATGACAATACCACATAACAAATAAGCATCGCTGCCTTCAAATACTTATCAAAGATTTCTTTAAATTAAAAAAGAAGAATGGATTAATTAGAAGACGCTTCCGCCTGAATCCTGCAGCAGACCCGCGGCTGTGTGATTCTCCTTGAGAGACTGGGAATCATCTCTTCATCTGCAGCTCTGCGGAAACGTTTGTGCCTCTCATGAATATTCTCTTTGATCAGTCACTTCGGGCCTAGAAAATTTATCACGTTAAATGGAATTTTGGGAGGGAATTTGTTGCTATTTGTCTACAATCTAACTCATCCCCCTTTTTTAAATTCCAAATTCCTGCGACATATGAAGACCATCTGAGCGGACAGATTTAGAGAAAAAAAAGTTTCTGTGAGTTTTTGCGGGTTGTGAAATATTGATTCGTGTGATCCCAGTATTGATATCATAACGTCCTGGGTCGGCGGTAAACTGAGCTGAATGCCTGTGGGTGTTGGCGGCATGTGGCGACTGAGGGCGTCTGAATTATTCAGCAGAAGCTGAAAGGTAGATTCCTGTTTCTCAGGCGATGGTCGAGGTGCGCTGGGAGGCTCATTTGCGCATTATCAGCACAAGAAAGCACTCATTAATCAAATCCCTAAAATGTTTGTAAGAAAAACGTCTAAGGTGCAAAAAGAGACAAAAACATAAAAATAAAGGAGGGATTAAGAGAAATAAAGTTGGGATGTTTTCATGCAGGGAGGAGCAGTTTTGACAGAATGAGGATGGGACTTCGGGTTAATTGCTAGAGCATGCATGCACTTTTACACTGAACACACACACACACACACACACACACACACACACACACACACACACACACACACACACACACACACACACACACACTGCTGTCAAACATGGGAGCAGACTGAGGGAATGTGAGAGGAGAGATGAGAGCCAAGACACCCTAAACTCAATAATTAATGCCATGCCAGTAGCAACAAATGAGAATGTGACCAGAGCAAGAGACGACAGCTACCTCTCTATTAGTCACCTTCAGTTATCATCACAAGCCAGTTCATCTGCTGGAGCACACACACACACACACACACACACACACACACACACACACACACACACACACACACACACACACACACACACACACACACTAACCTGCACCATAGACAGACACACACAGTAAGATTGAGTTGTTTTGTTGAAATCTGAGGCAACAGCGTTGGTTTTTGTGCTTTCTTCTTAAAAAAATAATTATAGAAAATTTTCAACGTAATTCACAAATCCCAAACCAGGTGTTTTTACTGAGAAGAATGAAGCTCCCTGCAAATAAACAGAACATTTTCAATACAAGTAAACAAACATCTTTCCCTGATCAATGAAGTTCTAAAACTTCATTCATTAAGCTTTAAAACTTCATTCATCCATGGCTCTTTTTTCACATTTTAGGGCACCAGGCATTTTGAAGGATTAATTTTAGCCTTTAAAATGTGCCCTTAGTGGATTGTTGTGTTATTACTCCAACCATTTTACATTCTGAACATTTGGAAGAACAAGTTTATAATTTAGTGACATGCTCACAATTTATCAAAAAGTATAAAAGGAAAATAAACAAAAAAATAAATAAAAAATAAATGAGATTTTATAAAAAATTATTACCTTTCATTTTTTTAATCAAATTATATTATGGGTGTGTATATATATATAGAAATTCTAAAGGCTCTGAATTAAAAAAAAATACTTTTTTTACACTTTTTATTGTCTGGATATTCACTGAGCACTTTAGAAAAGCTGTGATTCAGACATGACGGCTAATTTTATATGTCAAAAAGTGATATGTTCCTCTCATCTGTTTAAGAATGTATTTTTGAATGTTTTATAAAAATCACAGCAGTAATCGCGGTAATTCAATTCAATTTTATTTATATAGCGCCAAATTACGACAAGAGTCATCTCAAGATGATGGAGCTTGATTATTAAGAGCTTTATATCTGAGGAGGAGGATCTTAAAATCTATTCTGAATTTAACAGGTAGCCAATGTAGGGAAGCTAAGACAGGAGAGATATGATCTCTTTTTAATTCTCATCAGAACTCTAGCTGCAGCATTTTGGACAAGCTGGAGACTTTTAACTACATTCTGTGGACTTCCTGAGAGTAATGAATTACAGTAATCCAGTCTTGATGTAATAAATGCATGAACTAGTTTTTCAGCATCACTCCTGGAAAGGATGCATCTAATCTTAGCAATATTCCGAAGGTGGATAAAGGAAATCCTACAAACCTGTTTAACCTGGGATTTGAATGACATGTCCTGGTCAAAGATAACACCAAGGTTCCTTACTTTGTTCTCGGAGATTAATGTAATGCAATTCAGGTCAGTCATGTTTGGGGGAAGGTACCTAACCCAAGACATGCAGAACACAACACAGACCAAGAATGGGGTAAAAAATGTTTTATTTTAAGAAGGAACTGAGGATGCACAGAATATCTGTGGCTGGAACTGCTACGACAGCTCTGCGTCTGGAGGAGGGAGAACACTGGTGAGCATAGATTCAGATTCGGAAATCCATTTAGGCAGAGGTGTTCAGCGGGACGAGAGTTTGCTGGCTGGAGGAGGGAGCAGGCTGAGAGCCGGGGGAAGCGCAGGAGAGGGAGCACAGGCGGAGGTAAGCGGGGCGTCCTGGTGGCTGGGGCACTGGTTGAGATGAGAGAGGAGAGTTATGGAGATTGGTGATTTGGTCCGCGTGCAGAGTATCCAAATCCTGGAGTCCAGAGGTAGGTATCCAAAAGCTAGCGACCAGAGAACAAACAGGAATCCTGAAGAAGGGAGATAATCCAAAATAAGCTCCAGGTGGTAGCAAAAGTCAAAAATCCAAAAATACCTAGAGCAAACACTATAAGCACAAGAATCCTAGAGACACTAGAGGTTAAACATAAGTGGCTGGGTACTACCAAGCTGAGGCAGTCTTCCGGCGTTGAATTGTGTCCACCATCCACCTTAAATAGGAAACACCCCGCTGATTGCTGATCAGGAACAGCTGGGCACTCCCTCTCCTGGCAAGAGACTCAAAGATGGTAAGGTGAAATGACAGTACTCACCCCGGGTCATGACAAGGTCAGGTGATTGACTAAGCAATTTCCTTTTCTGGATTTCTGTTCCAAAGATGAGAACTTCTGTCTTGTCTTGATTTAAAAGCAAAAAGTTTAGAATCAGACAATTTTTTATGTCCTGAAGACAAGCCTGTAATCTGCCTAACCGATTAGGTTCATCAGGGTTAATGGATAAATATAACTGAGTATCGTCAGCATAACAATGGAAGTTTATCCCATGCTGTCTAATGATTTTACCAATTGGGATTATAAATATAGTAAAAATAATTGGTCCAAGCACTGAACCCTGTTGTACTCCACAAGTATAATTCTAGAGATTCAAGATTATATCTAGAATGGGGCAGTAACCAAAGGAAATGCATCTTTAAATAATTTGGTTGGGATTGGATCTAAAATGCAAGTTGAAGGTTTAGATGAAGCTAATATTTTTGATAACTCTGAAAGCTCAACTGAATCAAAATGGGTCAAACACAGATGAGGTTCTACAACCTCTGATGCTGCCTCACTTACTGAGGAAGAAGAAATCGCATTAGGGAGGATGCTTAAGATTTTGTTTCTAATAGAATTAATTTTACTTGTAAAAAATCCCATGAAGTCATTGCTGCTGAGGGCTAAGGGAATAGATGGTTCAGAGCTATGATTCTGTGTAAGTTTGGCAACTGTACTGAAAAGAAATTTAGGATTATTCTTATTCTCCTCAATTAATGCTGAGAAATAAGCAGTTCTAGTTTGTCGAAGCTTATTTTTATAAAGCACAAGACTATTTTTCCAGGATAGGTAGGCCTCCTCATGGTGCGTAGAGCGCCATGTTCTCTCCAATTTTCTAGAGTTTTGTTTTAAAGCTCGTAAATGAGAATTAAACCAGGGAGCCAACTTCCTGTCCCTAATTACCTTATTTTTTAAAGGGGCAACATCATCTAATGCCACACGTAAAGAGGAAGTAACATTATGACCTAAGGCATCAATTTGTGAAGGGATAGAAATGAAAATATTGCCCTCTGTTACGTTCCTTGAGATGCTGAGGACAGTAAAGATGGAACAGTTGATTTAAAAGATGCAACAGCG